CTTTGAACTGGCAGTACAGCTTCCTACCTACTAGGCCACCAGAACTCTCTGATGCTTGCAACTGTTTTGTTTAGGAGTTTTCATCTGTATTCATAAACATAATTGCGGTATAGTTTGGGGGGCTTGGTATTTTGATATTAAGAGTTCTGCTACCCTTGGAAAAAAACCTGCAGTTTTCTTTATATTTTTATTTTCTGGCATCGACTAAGTTGTTGTAAGGTGTTGTCAAGTCAAGTATAACACATTGTGACTGTATGAACAACAGACCCAAACCTTGTCCTATACTGTGCCGTCCTCATCATCTTGGACATATACAAGTCCATTTTTTACTATCACTATGTCAGTCTATGTTGAAAGTTAAGTAGTGTATAAATTGTTTGTTCTGAAAATGTTTGAAAACATTCAACTGGGAAACAGTCTTGTCTAAAAGTTTCCTCCAACCCCAAACATTTTGAGAAGGTATTTTTTGATAATTTTCTAATCTTTCTCCGTTTACATTTCTCTATGTCAAAACTCGCTCATTGCCTTGAAGTCAGAACCAACTAATAGCTGACCCTCTAGCAGGTTTTAAGAGTCTGTAAATGGCACAGATTTCCCCGCTTCCTCTCAGAGCAGCAGGCAGATTTGAACTGTGTGCCTTGGTTGGCAGCACAATAAGCAGAAGAGGGGCAGTCTCCTCCAGGCTATTTACAACTTCTGAAAACCCACTGGATGGTCAGCTATGAGTCTGATCTGACTTGACAGCACACAGCACATGAACAACAACAAATATATTTACACACACACACACACACACACACACACACACACACAACGTCAATGATTTCATCTTTCCTGAAACAATAATCAACACTCTTGGTACCAGCAGTCAGGAAATCAGGAGATGTATTATAGTATTGCATTGAGCAAGTCTACTCTCAGGGACCTCTCCAGAATGCTGAAGAGAAACTATGTCGATTTAAAGACTTTGTTGTTATTTTTAGGTGCTGTTGAGTCAAGTGCAACTCCTAGAGACCCTATGAACAAAATATCTGAACCCTGCTCTATCCTGCACCATCCTCACACTTCCTGACACACAAGAGAACATTGCAGCAGTCACCGTGTCAATCCACCTGACTGAAGGTCTTCCTCTCCTTCACTGACCTTACGATGTGCTTAATTCAGGCCATGGTCTTCGCAGCTACTTGCTATGCATCAGAGAGCTGGCCAACTAGGGAATTACAGAATAAGAATTGATGCCTTTGAGTTGTGGTGCTGGAGAAGGGTACTGAATATCCCATGGGCTGCTAGAAGAACAAACAGATATGTCTTGGAGGAAGTACAGCCAGAGAGCTCTTTGCATGCAAAGATGGTAAAACTTTGTCTTTCATTCCTTGGTCATACAGCTAGGCGAGGCTATTCATTGGAGAGGGACATCATACTTGGAAAGATGGGGTCAGCAAAAGAGAGGAAGACCCTCAATTAGATAGATTGACACAGTGACTTCAGTAATGGGTTTGAGCATTTCAGAGATGATGAGGATGGCACAGAATAGGATAGGGTTCAGGCTGGCTGTTCGTAGGGTCACTATGAGCCATACTCAACTTGACAGCACCTGACAACAACAACAGCAACAAATAAATATGGTCAAATATTTATGATCACATTTCTAGATATAGAGATATAGAGAAGGTATGTAAATTTCTTTATATGGTAATATATGTTGTTATTGTTATTATGTGCAGTCAAGTTGACTACAACTCATAGCAACCCTAGAACCGTGGGTATGAGTGATGTTTTATGATAATTTCCACACTCTGTTGGGTCACCTTGTTTTGGAATGGGAACAAATATGGATCTCTTTCAGTTAATTGGCCTAGTAATTTTCTTGTTTGTTCTCCTACAGTCCATGGTATATGCAATACTCTTCTCCAGCACCAAAGCTCAAAGGCATCAACTCTTTTTCTATCATCCCTAGTCATTGACTAGCTCTCTGATGCACAGCAAGTAATTGTAAAGACCATGTCCTGGATCAGGCACATTTAGTCTCTTCAGTATTTTGGAGAGGTCTCTGACAGCCGACTTTCCCAATGCAATTTGTCTTTTAACTTCCTGGCTGCTGATACCAAGAGTGTTGACTTGTAGAGCCAAGCAAACTGAAGCTATCAACAATCTCAATTTCTTCATGATCCATCAGGATGCTGCCAGTTGGCCCAGTGGTGAGACTCTTTGTTTTCTTGATGTTGAGCTTCAAACCATATTGAAGGCTGCAGTTCTTGACCTTCTGCAGCAAGCACTTCAGGTCCTTCTCATTTTTAGCAAACAGGGTTGTGTTATCTGCATCAATCCTGATGCCACACTTCTCCTCATAGAGCCCAGCCTCCTGGATAATCTATTCTGCATATAGATTGAAAAGATATGGAGATAGAACACATCCTTGACACACACCCTTCCCAATTTTGAACCATGCAGTGTTTTCTTGCTCTCTTCTAACTGCTACCTCTTGGTCCAATTATAGGTTTCACATAAGTACAATTAAGTGTTCTGGATTCCCATTCTTCTCAGAGTTAGCCACAGTTTGTTGTGATCCACGCAGTCAAATGCCTTTCATAGTCAATAAAACATAGATAGACATTCCTCTGGCACTCTCTCCTTTCTGCCAAGATCCATCTGACATTAGCTGTAATATCCCTAGTGTCACAGCCTCTTCTAAATCCAGCCTGTACTTCAGGCAGTTCTCTGTTGATGTGCTGTTCCAGTCGTTTTGTTTTTGTTATTTAAGTCTTAGTTATTTTAATTATTTTTCAAATAGACTGGGTTCTTTGGTTTAAGATGATTATTCTGTTTTCTAGTTTATTAATTTCTTCTTAAAGCTTTATATTTTCCTTTCTTTTTGCTTTTTCTTTGGTCAGTTTCGTGTTTTTATTTGCTAACTTATAGATTTGTATATTTAGCTCATTACCTTTTTACTTCAGTAAATAAAGTATCTAAAATTGCAGCTGTAGATGTTAATGTTGTTGGGAGATTTTAAAAAAATTGTTACTTTCAAGATGACATCTTAATTGCAGTTTTGGTTTCTTCTTTATGTTATTTAGCTCAGTGATTATACAATTTTGAGGAAGTAAAAAATACTTATTTATTTGTAGTTTATTTGCATTGTCATAAAAATGTTACTTGCATTATTTTGGTTTTTTGGTATTTACTGATGTTTTAATTAAACTCTAGTACATTGTTAATTTGTATAAATATTTCATGAGTGCTTAAAATGTTTATTTCCTAAAATAGTGTGTAGAGATCATTGATATCTACTAAATAAAAATGTAGTAAAAAAGTATGAACTAGCATCTATCAAGTAACAACTGATATATCAATAACTTTTTAGGTCAAGCATTGTTAAAGCATTTAATATATCATTTCAAATAGTGAAATTTTTTATCATTTTACAATTCAGAAAACTAAGACTTAAAAGTGTTTTATTGCCCAGCATCCTAAAGTTAGTCTGATGGAATCAGAAATCTGAACTATAGGAGAGCTCTGGTGGCCTAGTGGCAAGAAGCTGAACTGCAATCCCAGAGGTGCATGGTTCAAATCCACCAGATGCTCTGCTGGGAAAGGAGGGACAATCTCCTCCTGTACCAGTCAGATCCAATTTGACGGTATGCGCACACACACACATAAAATAATAAAATAATAAAAAGAAATAAAAAAAAAGAAATCTGAACTAGGCTGGCTTGCTTATAAACCCATGTACTTTATCACCATTTTAAAGACATCTTCTTAGAAATTTTTAAAGAAGAACAATTATTATTTTTTCAATGTTGAACATTTTCTTCTTCCCCACCCCTTAACTCACCCTGCAGAGTACCCCTTGACTCACATTGTTGTCATACGTATAATGTCTAATCATACAAAGATTTTTTCCCCCTAAGGGAGCTCTCGTGACCTAGTGGCAAGAAGCTGCACTGCACTCCCAGAGGTACATGGTTCAAATCCACCAGATGCTCTGCTGGAGAAGGAGGGGCAATCTCCCCCTTATCAGTCAGATCCAATTTGACAGTACAAACACACACAAAATAATAAAAAAATTAAAAAAAATAATAAAAATGAAAACAAAGATGTTTTCCCCCTGCTAAGAATGGAGCAAAATATATTCATATAGCTGTCATTTTTATGCCAATTTCAATTTGTATTTCCAGCTCTTTCTTTTCTCTTTATGCAGATGGTGTATTATTTCACACATTGTCCACTAGAATATAAGCTCTGAGGTGGAAGACCTTGTATTATTCTCATCTGTGTCCCCAACACCCCGCACAGTACTCAGCCCATAGTTTCTATTGAATAAATGAATGTTGGTTATGTCTTTGTGATACACTGTATCCTTCATCAATAAAAATTGATTCCTTTTTTGCTTTATATATATAAATGTACTTGTTTTGATCATAGTATTTTGACCTGTTTGCTATGTTTGCTTGCATTTGTAAAATATGTTTTGCCTTTCATTTAGTTTTTAAGTTATGTCATTTTATTTTAGATATATCTTTTGTAGCAGTGTATAGCAAGACTTGGCTTTTGCAGTTTGGGGCTCTAATAGGTTAATATGTACCATTAAACAAATGGATGAAAGAGTAAATATTTTCTGAATGAAAAGTAAACTGTTCTCTGGAGACTGTGATTGGATTGCTTGGCCTTAGTTGTCACTCTGATAGTGATGACATTTCCAGAGAGTTGAAGAAAACCAAAAAGAAATTAATGCTTGCTAGTAATTTATTGTTAATTTTTCATGATTCATTGTTATAATCATTGGGCTATTAGAAGCCACTAAAGAACATCCAATTCTTTTTACCCTAAGCCATTCCCAAAAAAGGTGTTAGAGTCCCAGAAACCAAAAGTTGAGAAATTCTGTTATTACACATTAGAGCTACATGTCTGAGGTTCACAAAAGCAGCAGCAGCCAAGAATGCCTAAACAACCAGCAAAGCCAATTGGAGGGGTGGAATTGATTGGAGCATCTGGAAGGAACTTCAGAACTCTTCTTCAGAAGAACTGAACTCTTCGTGGTCACCAGGGCTTTTCTTGTACTTGTTGCCAAATTTCCAGATACGGTAGGGATCATCGTCCTGGTCATTAGAATACTCTTCCCATTCTTCCCCTCTCTCTTGGCACAAATATTCTTTTGGATCCCAAACTGGGCAGTAGCCATAGTTCTTTCCTTTGCTGTGATTCTCAAGTACCTCCAAACCTGTATAATCAAGGTTACTTCTTGTATTTGTTCTTTCAGATGGGTTGTGTAGACAATAGCATAACCAGTTTCCTTTCTGTTGGGGAAAAAAGTATACTTCACACGTTATTGGCCCAATTTTTCTGCTGGTTGATGATTGCCAAGGATTTAGGATCTCAGCTTCCTTCTTCCTAGAAAAATTTTGACCTTGTTCTTTTCTTAGCTGCTCTTGTGTTCCATGGCTAGGTTCTCTTAGAGATAGGCCTGTTCTAGAGTTTCTCCCATTGTGGTCCATAAGAGGGCCCTCATCCTTTCTTGAAGCCAGCCTTCGTTGTCCACCCTCTTCCGTTTCATCTCTAGGTTCCAGCCTCGTGTCTCTTACTTGATGTCGTCCATCATTCCTGGGTACTGGCCTTACATCACTCTCTTGATGTCTTCCATAATTACTGGATTGTGAATTCAGTTCTTTTATATATCTGCCATCATCTCTTGGTGCTGAGATCTGGTCTCTTTGGTGAAATCTTTCATATTGTCTTGGAACTGTTCTTTGCTCTCTCCTGCTCCTAGGATCTGTGCTTAGGTCTCTCTCTTGATGTCCTTCATCTTCACGTGGTGCTGTGGTTCTGTTTCTCACTTGGTGTATATCATCTTCTGTTGGAGTGAATTGTTGTTCTCTAACACGGTGATTCCTGGCTTCTTGTTTCTCCTCTCTAACCCGGTGATCACCAACGTTCCTAGTTTCTAGTCTGTCCTCTCCAATCAGGTGACCTCCAGTAATCCTGGTTTCTAGTCTGTCCTCTCTACCCTGGTGATTGCCATAATTCCTGGCTTCTGTTCTCTCCTCTCTGAACTCTTGATTACCACCAGTTGTGGTTTGTAGTCTTTGCTCTGTAACAACACGATGTCCCCTCTTCCTGGACTCTAGTCTCTCCTCTCTAACCGAGTACTCTTCACCAGTTGTGCTTTCTAGACTCTCCTCACTAACCTGATGGCCTCTGCCAATCCCACTTCCCAGTCTCTGTTCTCTACTATGATTATTCCTGGCTTCTGACCGCCCCTCTCTAACCTGACAATCTCCATCATTTCTTGCTACTAGTCTGTCCTCTCTAACCTGGTGCTTGTCACCATTTCTGGCTTCTGTCCTGTTCTCCCTAACCAGGCGATCTCCAGCGCTCCTGGATTCTAGCCTGTCTGCTCTGCTCTGGTGATCTCTGCCAATTCTGGTTTCTACTCTCTGCTCTCTAATATGGTTGCTCCTGTCATTCCAGGTGCCAAGTCTGTCCTCTCCAACCAGGCTATCTATACCTTTCCTAGCTTCTAGCCTGTCATCTCTAACCAGGTGATCGTCAACATTCCTGGATTCTAGTCTCTTCTCTCTGATCAGGTGATCCTTATCCCTCCTATTCCTGGCTTCTAGTCGGTCCTCTCTAACCATGTGTTCTCCAACATTTCTGGATCCTAGCCTTTCCTCTGTAATGTGGCGATTACTGTCAATCCTGGTACCTAGGATCTGCTCTCTAATGTGGCAGTCCCTGTCATTCCTGGCTTCTAGACTGTCTTCTCTAACCAAGCGATCTCTACCATTCCTGGCTTCTACTCTGTCCTCTCTAGCCACCCTGTCTCCAACATCCCTGGATCCTCTCCTCTCCTCTCTAGTCTGACAACCTTCACCAATCCTGGTTTCGACTTGCTGCTCCCTCATATGCCTGTCCCTGTCATTCCTGTCTCCTAGTCTGTCCTCTCTAATCTGCCAACTTCCTCCAGTCCTGGTACCTAGTATCTGCTCTCTAACATGGTGATGCCTGTCATTCCTGGCTTCTACACTGTCCTCTCTAACCAAGCGATCCCTACCAAACCTGGCTTCTAGTCTGTCCTCTCTAACCAGTTTATCTCCAACATACCTGGCTCCTAACCTCTCCTCTCGAGTCTGGAGACCTCCACCAATCCTGGTTTCTACTCTCCGCTCTCTAATATGGCGGTCCCTGTCATTTGTGGATTCAAGTCTGTCATCTCTAACCAGAGGATCCCCATCATTCCTGGATTCTAGTCTCTCTTCTCTGAGCAAATGATCCTTATCCTTCCTATTCCTGGCTTCAAGTTTCTGCTCTCTAACTGGGCAATCTCCAACATTCCTGGCTTCCAGTCTCTGCTCTCTAACCTGACAATCTCTATCATTCCTGGCTTGTAGACTGTTCTCTCTAACCAGGCAATCTCCAACATTTCTGGATTCTAGTCTCTCATCTCTATCCAGGTGATCCCCACTAATCCTGGCTTCTAGTCTGTCTTCTCTATCCCTATCATTCCTGGATTCCAGTCTCTGCGCTCTAACCTGGAGATCTCTACCATTCCTGGCTTCTAGTCTGTTCTCCCTAAGCAGTTGAGATTCATCATTCCTGGCTTCTAGTCTTTCCTCTCTAACACTCCTGGATTCTAGTCTGTCCTTACTAACCAGTCTATCTCCAACATAGGATTCCAGCCTTTCCTCTCTAGTCTGGTGACCTCCACCAATCCTGGTTTCTACTCTCTGCCCTCTAATATGGTGGTCCCTGTAATTTCTGGCTTCTAGAGTGTCCTCTATAACTAGGCGATCTCCACCACTCCTAACTTCTATTTTCTCCTCTCTAACCTCGTGAGCTCCATCATTCATAGCATCTAAACTGCCATCTTGATCTCCACCATTCCTGGCTTCTAGAGTGTCCTCTCCTACCAGACAGTCTGCATCATTCCTGGATTCTAGTCTGTCATTTCTCACCAGGTGACCTCTACCATTCCTGGATTCAAGTCTCTCCTCTCTCACCAGGTAATCTCTACCATTCCTGGGTTCCAGACTGTCCTCTGTAACCAGACGATCTCCATCATATCTAACTTCAAGTCTCTCCTCTCTCAACGGGTGATCTCCACCATATCTGGCTTCTACAATGTCCTCACTACCCAAGCAAGCCCTATCATCTCCAGCTTCTAGTCTGTCCTTTCTAACCAGTCTATCTCCAACATAAGATTCCAGCCTTTCCTCTCTAGTCTGGTGACCTCCACCAATCCTGGTTTCTACTCTCCTCTCTCTGATATGGTGGTCCCTGTCATTTCTAGATTCAAGTCTGTCATCTCCAACCAGGAGATCTCGGTCATTCCTGCCTTCTAGACTGTCCTCTCTTACCAGATGGTCTCCACCATTCTTGGATTCTAGTCTGTCTTCTCTAAACAGGCTATCTCTGCCACATCTAGCTTCTAGTGTGTCCTCTCTTACCAGGTGACCTCCACCATTCCTGGATTCAAGTCTCTTCTCTGTCACCAGGAGACCACCATTCCTGGATTCTAGACTGTCATCCCTAACCATGTGGTCTCTGCCATTCCTGAATTCTGTTCTCTCCTCTCTAACTTCGTGAACTCCATCATTCCTGGATTCTAGACTGTAGTCTCGATCTCCACCATTCCTGGCTTCTAGACTTTCCCCTCTAACCAGGCGATCATCACCATTCCTGGATTCTAGTCTCTCCTCTCTAACCTGGTGACCTCTGCCAATCCTGGTTTCTAATCTCTGCTCTTTAAGTAGGCGATCTCCTTTATTACTGGCTTCTAGCCTCTGCTCTTGACTGTGACAATCTCCATCAGTCTTGCCTTCTAGTCTCTGTTCTCTAACTTGAATACCCCTGTCATTCCTGAATTCAGGACTCAGGTCTCTCATTTCACACAATCCATTATCCATTGCTTCTGAGTTCTGCTCTCTCTGTTGGAATCTTTCATATAGTCTTGGGGTTGATCTCTGCTCTCTAATTTGGCATCTCTCATTTTCTCTGGTTTCTGGGCTAAGGTCTCTCAGTTGGCATTTTTCATAATTTCTTTCTTCTGGGGTTTGGTCCCTTACTTTGTTTCTCCTATCTTCTGTTAGAGCTGATCTTTGCCTCTTCAGTTGGTATCTCCTATCATTTCCAGGTTCAAGGTTAAAATCTCTCACTTGATGTCTCCATTCTTCCTTTGCTGCTGCTGGGGTGTAGTCTATATGTTGGAATCTTTCATATTGACTTAGAGTTGATCTCTGGTCCTGGGCTTGATCTCTCCCATAATTTCTTGGTTCTGGACTCTGGCTTCTCACTTGGAATTTCCCATTATCCCTTTGAGTTGAGCTTTGATCTTCCATTGGAGCTAATTTCTGTCCTCTAAGTTGGTGTCTGTCATCATTCCTAGTTTCTACTTTCTGTTCTGTAACTTGATGGTCTTCATTATTCCTAGATTCAGGACTTAAGTCTCTCATTTGGCCTCTTCCATCATTCCTTGGTGCTGGGATATAGTCTCTGGGTTGGAATCTTATGTGTTGTCTTGTAGCTAAACTCTGCTCTTCAGTTTGACTTCTGTCAAACATTGGTACTGGGTTTAAGTCTCTCATTTGGACTCTCCTGTCATCTATTTGTACTGGGCTTCGGTCTCTTCCTTGATGTCTTCCTTTATTTTTGGGATTTGAGCTCAGATCTTTCAGCTGAACTCTGTCATCATCGGTGAGCTTTGATCTCTGCTGCCTAACTTGGTGTTCCTCATCATACCTGGATCCAGAACTCTGATCTCTCACTTGGAATCTCCTATCATCCTTTGGTATGAGGTTTCTGTCTCTTACTTGGTATTGCCCATCTTCTGTTGGAGTACTCTGCTCCCTAAATTGGTGTCTTTCATCATTCCTTGCTTCTGACCTCTGCTCTCTAACTTGGAAACCCCCAATGTTATCTGGTTCAGGGCTCAGGTCCCTTCCTTGGAATCTTCCATCATTCTTTTGTACTGGGCTGTGCTCTCTTACTTGGTGTCGCTCCTCTTCTGTAGGTGCTGACCTCTGCTCCCTAACTTGATGACTCCCATAACTCCTGGGTTCAGGACTCAGGTCTCTCATTTGTTGTCTTCTATCACTTGTTGGTGCTGGGATCTGGTCTCTATGTCGGAATCTTTCATATTCTTTTGGGATTGATCTATACTCCCTAACTTGGCTGATCCTCCTTTCTGGGCTCAGGTCTCTCATTTGGAATCTTCTATCATTTCTTTGTGTCGAGCTTTGACCTCTCAGTTGATGCATCTCATCCTCCTTTGGTGCTGGGGTTCTCACGTATTGTGTACCATCTCCTACTGGATCTGGTCTCTGCTCCCTAGCTTGGTGCCACTCATTGTTGCTAGTGTCTTGTCTTGGGTCTCTCTCTTCATGTGTCCTATCATCCCTTGATGTTTTGTAGTGATTTCTCTCATAAAGTCTTTCATTTTGTCTTAGAGTTGATTTCTGATCTCTAACTTGGTTTCTCTCATCATTTGTGTTTATATCTACTTCTCTCATTAATTGTCTCCCAGGTTCTGGTCGCTGCTCTCTAATGTGATATCTTCCATCATGCCTGAACTCTGAACTCAGTTGTCTCACTCGGTGTCTTTCATCTTTTGTTGAAGCTGGTCTCTCTTCCCACACTTGGTTTTCCTCGTTATTCTTAGACTCTAGAAATTTCTGATCATTCTTTGTCACTGTGGCCTGACTTCTTACCTTGTATTTTTCATTGTTCTCTGGTATTGGAGTCTTATCACTGACTTCCAGTCTCTCATTCTCTGTTGGAAATATTTGCTCAATAATCTGCTGTCTTCCACTATTTTGAATTTCTGGACACAGTTCTCTCATTGGATGTCTTTTATCATTTATTGGAACTGTGTTCTGACCACTAACTTGCTTTATTTCATTATTTTTTGGTGAAAGTCCTTGTTTTCTGGTCTCCATCCCACTATTGCTTAGTTCGGGATTCAGATCTCTTTGTTGGTAATAGTCACCAACCACTGATGCTGAAATTTGCTCCTTACTTTGTTGCCTTGCGTTATGCTGGGATTCTTGTGTTTGGTCTCTCACTGGAGTTTTGCTATCCTTTAGTGTTGAAAGTTGGTCTCTCACTTGATGGGTTCCTTCATTTATTGATGTTGGGCCAAGGTTTCCTACTTGTCTACACTCATCCACTCTTGGCTCTAAAGTTCGCACACCCTCTTCAGGACAGAAAAGAGGTTTTATGCATGCATAGTAGACTCTTGTCATTCTAGACACTAGTAAAATAAATTCATTGAAGTCAATTGTTTTGTCGCCATCTTGATCAAGTTGTTGAAGGACTTTTTCTGTTATCTCAGCATAATTTGTTTTCTATAAGGAAAAAAATCAAGAAAGGAAGTAGTTTATTAATAATCTGTTATTTTTTTGTTACCGAGAACATTTCTGAGGATATATTTAGGTTAACAGTACTACATAATAAGGGTTATGGCACCACAGAGCTCCTACTTGGGTTATATTTAATAGCAAAATTGGGAAGGGTATACGCCAGGGATGCATCCTGTCTCCATACCTTTTCAACATGTACGCAGAGCAGATTATCCGAGAGGCTGGGCTCTATGAGGAGAATTGTGGCATCAGG